AAAGAGATTTCTTGCCCAGGAAAATGGCAGCTTTTACGACTCGCTGAGTGAGAGAAACTACTATTAACCGTTTCATTGTTAATTGAACTTTTTTCTTGTGGGGGGTTCCTTCAATCCAAGACTCTCGAAGTTATATATCTAGTGTACACAAAAGAGAATGCAGTTTGTTTAAATTGAACTTAGCGTCGAAATAATGTAGGGTTTTGTTGATCAGAACAGGATTGAGCAGGCTCTGTGTCAGGTTAAGTTTTGTGTTAAGTAACATTGAACCAAAATGCGTGTTAAGTTCAGAGACGGAGAGCTCCCGTGAGCTTTCACGGCCCACATCATTTAAAGTACTACATCTTATTGCTTATTTGGAGCGGTGTGTGGGCCTGGCACGTTTCCTGTGTGCGATAAAGCGTCCCGCATCTGTCGCTGCGAAACGGCAGCCTTAGGTTTAACAACGAGGTGGGGGTGGTGCACACCAATAGACTACAGATCACTGGATTATACTCTAAGTACTCTGTATTTAGTGTAGCTTTGCCAGGGCGTGACATCACAAGGAAAACGTGGAAAAGGAAATTCTGAGATCTATTTCGTGTTAGCCACTAGCCTGAAGGCGAGGGTTATGTTTCATACTTCGTGACGAGACAACGCTATAGTTTGCGCCGGTCTGCACTGCTCACAGTCACGGCTCGCCGCACAGCCGCCGTCAGGTGTCGAAGTCGCTCGCGTTACACGTACTTATCAGCACCACGTCAGAAAGCTGTATGTCCAGTTGGTAACGTGTTAACCAACCGAGAAACGTGGTGTAGTGTGCTAGGGTAAGAAAAATTGGATTCTTCATCGCGGCAGAAACTTCAAGATATTGCTAAACTATCAGACTGGACGGGTTAGCGTAGTTGGTATAGGAACTACACGTAGCTACGGGCTGGATGACTGAGGAGTCGGAGTTCTAGTCGCAGTAAGGCCAAGAATTTTCTCTTCTCCACGTTGTCCAGACCGGCTCTGGGGTTCACCCAACCTATCCAATGGGTACCGGTGCTCTTCCCCCGCGGGTAAAGCGGCCGGTGCATGAAGCTGACCACTCACCTCTAGCCAGTGCCTGAGGTCAAGAAAATGTGGGTCTACACATCCACTCCACCATACGTCTTCATGACGTAATGCTTAGTTAAGCGCAGGGACAGGTTTACCTTTACCCGGGATTTGTACATAGCTTTTAGACCGCTTTTGTCTCAAAGACATGCTTCTTATGGACATCATGCTGTTCTAGAAAACCTCGGCTTCGTTCTTTTCCCCATACTGACTTCTGAGTTGTAACGTCATGTAGTTGGGAGACAGTCCGACGTTACGGAAGAACATACTGTCTCCATCTTCATGGCCGAAGATAAAGTCAAACAAGAAAACAAAGCAGGTGATAAACACTTCTGCCAGGATATTGAATACCACTGAGCCACGAAAGTAACATTTTACTTTATTTCTTCAGAGCGTTAGCCAGGCAAATAGGATTAACATGAACGCTTCGTAAACAAAACTGCTCATGGAAACAAGAGATAACTTCATGGAGTTGAGCCCTTCTTGAGAAGCCACCAGTTGTGCAGCTACTCTGGAACTTCCAAGTATTTTATGGAACCCGAAGGTCCATTACCGTATTCACAAGAGCCATCCACTACTCCCTATCCTGAACCAGATCAATCCAGTTCATACTACCCCATCTTATCTTTTTTAGATTCATTTTAATATTATCTATTCACATACATCGTGGTCTTCCTAGTGGTCTCTTTCAATCCGGTTTTCACACTAATATCCTATATGCATTCCTCTTCGCCCCAATTCGTGCTACATTACCCTACACATCTCATCGTCCTTGACTTGGTCATTCTAATTATACAGCCTACACATTGGGTTTGTTTATTCGTTTGGTTTCAGCTCGGTCATTTTAATTTATGTATTTATTTTTATTACTCTGTTTTGTATCTCTTGTTTATTGTATTATTATTATTAAACAAGATATACAAAACAGAATAACAAATAAAAACGACAAAGCGGACGCCAGACGTATAAAAAAACAAACGGGTAGGCTGCCCACTGATTTATTATTGAAGTTCCGCGGTATTTTGAATATGGAAAGGTAGTATAATCGTTAGTTTTGTAACCGTGGGCCCTGCCACTGGTTCCGTCCATTAAGTTCATGCGGTACTGTGTCTTTATATCAATAACGGATGGATTGTGTCGCCCAAGAATGCGAAATTTGGCACTGAAGTAGTTCATGCACCTACTCACAAATTCTGTATAACCACGTTTTATTTTTGCACATTAAAAATTACAAGTGGTGCCGTTCCGGCCCACCCATCATAAAATTAGGTATGTTTACTTATTTATTTCCACTTGTCATTTGTTTTACTATCCAGATACTGTTGGATCGTTTTCTAATACAAGTGTATTCAATGAAGAAAGCAATCTTCTGGGATTTGGCACCGTGTATATGTGGTGTTAACCGACGTTTCGGAGGAATGTATCGCCTCCATCTTCAGGGTAGAAGGAAAAATATAAGAAATCCGCAAGCGAAGAGACCGTGAGAACCGGTAAAAGCAGACTGCTTTCTTCATAGTCACCGCCGTGAAAGCCTCAAATCTTACACAAGTGTATTCGTTTGTCCCACGCAGAAGACGGCTAAGAAACGAATCGACAGTTTTTCAGAGGATTGACGTCTGAATAAAGGTGGCTGGTTTCAGTTGTACAATTGTGGAGGCCGAATAGAATCCTGCGTACTTGGGCATGTGGCGACAGTGTTTTCAGTGCAGAAGAAAACATTTCATTGTCTGAAATAGTGATGCGTATTCCGTTACGAAGCAAAATATGGTGACTCAGTAATATTAATCTCAGAATTTCATAAAACATTAACAGGAATCAACAAACAGCAAAGAAAAGTAGAAAACTGCGAGGCAGAAAGAAGCTCTTGGTAAGTTTCTGGCTATTGGTCTTCTGTGGAGAAAGAGTCCCGTTTAAAAGTAACGAGATTGGCATCAGACAGCCGTGCGTATCTTTAAAAAGGCCGAGCTTCAATTATTCACTGCACTTTGGAGTTGATGAATCGTTTAGTATTCCTGACCGAGCCACTTAGACTGATCTTAATGATAACAAGACGAAATGTGCGATAGTGAAACACGGCCCCGTTCTGATCACGTCGAATCATTCACTTTACCGTCTATGCTGAAGACAGATCCTCGGAGAGATGTTTGATGCAGAACAGTTATCTAAGAAAACCGAATAATGGCAGACAAGGTATTAAGTGTCATGGTCGAGTGGTTAGCACACCACTTTCGTGTTCCAGAGGCCCCGCCTTCAAATTTTGGCCTGGGGACCAGCTGCCCTGACCCATGTTCTTTTTTATTTTCATCACTGTCTCATGAAATTGCAAGATAGTACTCCACGATCTCATCCTTCCTAATCCACTTCCTTTTATTACTCACTAGATTTCCATCAATATGACATCGTTTAGTCTTACCCCGTGTAAGCCGGTGCGTTAATAACAACAAACTCCGTGGCCTGTAGCCCGCAAGCGAACTATACCGACCGAGCGACCGCCGCTTGTCGGAGAAGTTCGAGAATGAAATGAAAGATGTTAGTGNTCCAACTGGGTCCACTCGGCACGACGGCCACTGATTGGTCTATTGTAGCCTGCCCCGGGTGATTATGATGATGGAGAATTTAGTGGAATGAAGATTGGCAGGGGAAACCGAAGTACTCGGAGAAAACCTGCCTCAGCCACTTTGTCCACCACAAATCCCACTTGACCAGACCCGGGATAGAACCCGGGCCGCCCCGGTGGGAAGCCAGCGACTAACCGCTTGAGCTGTGGCGCGTGTCGGAGAAGTCAGTGCCAACTACTGCGGATAGAGGGTGTCACGTGGTCAGCGCAGCGGATCCCCATGGCTGTTAATCTCGGTTTTCTCGCTGTTTCCTTGAAATAGCTCCTCAGTTAACTTCACGAGGCTGAGTGAACCCTGTTAGAGGACCACTACTTCTCAGAAAATCTGGTACCACCGGAAATCGAACCCGGGACCTCTGGATCTGTAGCCAGGAACTCTGACCACTAGGCCGCAGAGGCAGTTAATACGCTGTTATAAGCTTTTTAGTCCTGTTCAACACACGGCTCACCTTAATGGCGGTATATTTTAAAAGTCCAGTGGATTGCATGGGGAAGTGGAGAGGTGCAAATTCAGTTAGACCTAGGCAGCGTCTACACGAGCGCACAAAATGCGTCCGCTGTAACGAATGTACTTTGCTGAGGACACCACACAGTGGCATAATGCGGTGCATAGTTTCATTGCAGACAAGAAAACTACGCATCGCATTCTGCCACTGTGTGGTGTCCTCAGCAACGTCCTGAGCAAAGTACGTTCGATACAGCGGACGCATTTTGTGCTCTCGTGTAGACTCTGCGTAAGACTATAACACTCATTCTCATAGATACGTCAGATATAACGACAACCCCGTCTGTTTTCAAAAGACGCAGTGCACTGATAACGGCAGTTCACCCAGTGCAGGTAAATATTGCCTTTCGCGAGAAAGCTGGCAAACCGGATTTAGCATTACGATAGTTGGTGCTCCTGTTAGAATGATAATCTTTAATGCGTTGTTACTGAAGAGTTTATCCGTAAAGGGTAACAGTTGTATAGACTGGAAAATTGTCCCAGCAAGCCCATAAAAATCTTGTGGAATTACATACGTAATAAGCATATATTGGCATATCCTACTTAAAAATATACATGTATATTGCCATCCCTCAGCTATAGACCCTCTGCATCGCATTGCCCATCTCTTGCATCCTGATGAAACTCAAGACTTCAGGGGTTTGCTAGGTGCATGAACACAAGGACTGCCGCATGATACAATTAACAATCATATCTTGGAGTCGATAGCATCTCTTACATGTCTGTACACAAGTGCCCCACCTGCACGCCAGAGGCGCTCTTGCGGAGTGTTTTGTTCTTTGAAGAGGAAACGCGTTCTACGCACATGTTGCGTGTGGCTGTTGTAGTGCAGAGAGTTCAGTATTCAGTGAGTGAGGCTGCTGTTAGCGGTTGTTGGATCCGTTAATGTAGGTCTATGTAGGTGATTGGTGGTACGTAAGCCATCTCACTAGTATTCCATTGGGGAGGAAACAGATTTTTTCCTCGTGAACTCTGGACGATAGTGACAGTTCCCATACAACTGAAATCATCGTCTGTTCTTGTGGAATGTCCGACTGTTTATTGAAGATGTTCTATACGCGCTATGAATTGTTTTATGAGCTGGTAATTTCAACATACAACTTTTGTTGATCGTATTATTACATCGTAATTGCTTGGTGTAAGGAAATAATGGAACGTATTTTAAGAATGGATTAATTTCAGTATATTTTACTTACTGACTACACGTGTTCTTGCTGTAAAACGTCTGGATCCCAAAATTTATAACGGTGTGCATGCCAAATTTTTCCCTTTTACAGATAGGTGGCCTGTATGTTTGTGTCAGTGGTGTATGTGCATTTGCATCTGAAATGAGTGACTACAGCCGTTGAATGTGCAAGGGTGCAACGCTAAATTTGCCATTGGAGGATCACAACTATTAAAAGAAGTTTGTGCCACCTGTCGGGTTGTGTATGTGGTGTATGTACGTGGGACGGCCGTTTTGGCCGGTGGATCTCTGAAGCGTAGTGGTCTGACGCAAGTCGTCGAGCTTAGATTGGTGATCATGCGCAGCGACACTATGTTGCCTCAGTAAGAAGGTAGACGTCGAGTTCATAGGATCGTTGTTATTAGTAGATACCGTGTGCTTTTCCCACGTGCCAGTTGCTTGTTTTTAATTGATATATTTCTTTTAGGGAAATAACACATTTAAAAAGCCATAGCTCAAGTGGTTAGTCGCTGGCTTCCCACCGCGGCGGCCCGGGTTCGATCCCGGGTCTGGTCAAGTGGGATTTGTGGTGGACAAAGTGGCGCTGGGGCAGGTTTTCTCCGAGTACTTTGGTTTCCCCTGCCAGTCTTCATTCTACCAGTTGCCCCACAATCACCCTCATCTATCATCTGGGGCTGGTACAATAGGTCAGAAGTGGCCGAAGTACACGGGACTTAGTCCCACCCCACTAGCAATAAAAAACAAATTTAAAATGAAAACAAATGCCACCTATTCAGTCAAAACTTGGTAACAAAACATTGCACAGCCAGACCTGAGAGGTGGTAGATAACGTCCGTTCATTTATGAAAAGTGAAGCTGCTGCAGGTCAGGTACAAGAGAGAGTAGTGTAAGGTCAACCGGAGTTTCAGAAAGAAGTTTACAGAGAATTCTGAGTGAAGGTTCTCGACGTGAAAAAGAAGGCGCTATGCTCGGAACTCCCAGGAAATACCAGTAAAGTCCCCGTTATCCGGCATGTATGGGACTGGCGTGTGCCGGCTACGTAAATATGTCCATTGCGTGGGGAAACCTACAGAATACTTCTGCTGTAGTGGTTCTTTGGGGGGATTGATACGTGAAAGATTCCGAATGCATGTGTTGTAACGCGTTCACATATTGAAGAAGCCTCTACTGTAATGCATGTGTGTTAAGAGAGATGATAAATGTTGAGCAGTTGGTGGAATGAGAACTGGTAGGGGAAATCGAAGAGCTTGGAGAAAACCAGCCCCAGTGCCACTTTGTCCACCACAAATCCCACATTACCTGACCTGGGTTCGAACCCGGCCGCCGCAGTGGGAAATCGGCGACTAACCTCCTGAGCTGTGGCCCGGCCACGGCCTTCAGTGTACCTTCACAGGTTATAGGTTGAATCACCACTTAGTCCATGCTTTCATGTGCATTCAGCCACACAGGTTCACCATCAGGTATACATGGTGATTTGTATAAATTGTTATACTATGTTATATAGCTTCTGAGGGCTGTGCAACTGAATAATTTATTATTTAAACCAATTTGGTGCATTTAACCAAAACAAACAAGAAAGAATAAGTCAACACAATACATTATTTTACAGCAGTTAAAAAAATTGTAAATAATTTTTTATATTAAATTTGAACAGGTACGAAACTGGTTTAAGTAATACAGTATTTGGACACAACCCTCACAAGCTAGCACGCGGTAGCATACATGGTTGAGGCACTGTGCTACAAGCCAGAAAGTCGCGGGTTCAAGTCCCCATGAAGTGGATTTTTTCAGTTTACCTAACCCTTCCAGCCGCATTGTGGCCATGGGGTTGACTCAGCCTCTGACAGAAATGAATACCAGGAATCTTCATGGGAGGTAAAGGGTGGCCGGTGCACAAGGCTGACAACCTTACCACCATCTGTGAGCTGATTGTCTAGAGAAGATGTGGGTGCCTCCATGTCTTACAATGCTATGGGCCTTCACATCCTGTTACAGGGATACCTTTTTTTATAGCTTTTTACCTCAGGAGCTATATAATACTGTAATACAGTATTGCAATTTACAGGAATCATTACAAATGCCTGACGGTGAGCCTGTGTGTCCAAAAACTTGTCCTTGAATGTACTTGAAATCTTGGACTAATTGGTGTTTCAACCAATAACCTGTGACATTGTATTGAAGGCTGTATGTATGAGTGTGAGTGATCATTCATCTGCTGTACTATTGTCAGTTCACAAGACGTGACTTCCTTCATTTGCCCTTAAGTCATGACTACCTGGACCCCCAGTCTCATTTCTGGAATGATAAAGAAATGAGTTGAATCATACAGAAGGGTCATTTTGCCCTGCTGTACTCAGTGATGATGGATGTTGATAATTGTGATAATTCAATGATGTGACTGCTGAAGCGATATGAACACTTTGACATTGGTCCCAGAGAAAGTAGGTGGGTTGCTTGGAGCAGTGGTTCATCAGTGCCTGTCTACTCTGTGTCCCAGGTAAATCCATGTGTGTTTATATGTAGCCACCAATTCTGCACATGATGAACAAACTTTCTATGCATGGTTGAAAATGTACAATAATAAAACAGAACCTCATTTAGAAACTGAAAAGTTTTGAATACTTGAAATATCTTTGGACTAATAACTGTTAGGTGACAGATATTTACAGTGCTTTGCTATTAACCCAAACACTTCTCATACTTCCTGACTGCTGGCCTGAAAAAGCATACCACCAGTAACTACTGGTTAACTCTGATATGAACTTAAAATAACTCATAGCTGTGCAATATCAGTAAGTGTTGCTGAAATGATTCATAACATATAGGCATTCAGCCCGAGTGAATAAGGCTGCAGTAGTGTTAAACAGTGTGTTAATAAGTGGTTATCGTGAGGGCTGTGGTTCAAGATTACAGTCTTGTGCGATATGATGCCACCATGGTATCATATTTTATAAGACCATAAACTTTCAGTGCCATGAGGATGGCATGTCTTGTATGGATATAGTTTAATATGTAGTGTATTTTTATACATTTTTAACTCATAAACACTTACTTGAAAATTTACTATTCCAGTTTTCCCCCCCAAAATTCAAATAAAATATGTAATTGGATTACTATAGGAATAATAACATCCTGTAAACGTAAAACAGTAATCTATATGGCATGTAGAAACAGTAATAATTCAGAATTAAGAAACTATTATAAAAAATACTGTAAAATTTTATCTAAGGTAATTAAGGAAGCTAAAAAACTAAAATATGATAACAAAATTCAAAATTCCAGAAATAAAAGTAAAACCATATGGCATATAGTAAAATTGGAAACTAATAAGGGGCCAAATAATGAAAAAATATGCACATTAAAAGTGGCCGGAAAATGGATTAGAGAAAAACAAGTAACTGCGGAAACCTTTAACAATTACTTTTTATATGTAGCTGAAAATAAAAATGCAAAAAATAAACAAAGTAATACTAATATTAGTTACCTTCCAGATACTACTCCCATTCAGTATTTAATGAAAACTTTTATAAATCCCTTTCCACATATTAAACTTAAATCTTTATCAACTAAGGAAGTTGAATATATAATTAAATCTCTCAAATCAAAACACACTTATGGATATGATGAAACATCCACTAAAGTATTAAAATTGAGTTCCATTTTCATTAGCTCTCCTTTGACTTGCATATGCAACAGTTCATTATCACAAGGAATTTCCCAGATCGTTTAAAATACTCAGAAATAATACCGCTGTTTAAAAAAGGTGATAAATCAAATATTTCCAACTATAGGCCTATATCACTTTTAACTTCGTTCTCTAAGGTATTAGAAAAAGCTATGAGCATTCAATTGATTGAGCACTTAAATAACAATAACATTTTAGTGGAAGAACAATTTGGTTTTAGAACAAAATCTTCAACAGATGAGGCTATATACAAGTTAGTGAATGAAATCTGTAAGACATTAAACAACAAAAACCCAATAAGAGGCATTTTTTGTGACCTCGAAAAGGCCTTTGATTATGTTAATCATGAAGTTCTGTTGTCGAATTTGGAGTTCTATGGGATAAAAGGTAAAACTAAACTATAGCTTGAATCTTATTTCAGAAATAGATATCAGAGGGTTTTAATTACAAATATAAATCTTAATCATAATGAATTTTTGACATGGGGCAAAATTAGACATGATGTACCGTAAGGTTCGATTCTGGGTCCATTGTTATTTCTCATTTATATAAACGATTTACCCAAAACCTGTATTATTTGCAGATGATACTAGTTTGTTAGTTAAAAGTTCAAAGTAAAACAACTTTCTATAAATTTTAACAAAACATTCAATTTACAGCTAGAAATAATAATCCTAAATCTGAAATAAAAATTGTATATGATAAAAAAACAAATTACATCTATATCCAATATTAAATTTCTTGGAACATTCATTGATGATACAATGAGCTGGAAATACCACATTGAATATATTAGTTCAAAACTAAGTGCAGTCTGCTACAT